AAAACATTGAACCTTGTAAACAAATTAAGAGAGTTTGTTGACAGCGTATAAAAAGTTCAAAGTTTGATGTGTGTGTTCTTTCGCGGTGTTTTTTGGTAAGTGGTTGATTAAGAGTTTCGGCTAGCGCATATATTTTCTTTTGGGAAATTGGTATGTATGACCAAGAAAAAAAGTATAATTATATATATAGTCAATTGTCCTATCTTTTTCATGTTCCCCTTGAAATATATGTAATATTGTTATATTATCCCTGGAAGCCACCGGGAAAACCTGGCAAATAAAAAATTAACACTAAACACATATTTTAGTAAAACAGTCATCATGGCTCTTAGAGAATCACACCCTTCAACACAACAATTTTTAATCGGTAAAAGGGGAAGAAGTTAAATAGTTTCACATCAGAGTCTTGCCTCTTCTTTTCCCTTACTTCACTCCGGCGAGAGTTTCCATAAGCGAAGTCGTTTTGGGCGAGGGATGGTTTGTTGCAGTGACGAAAGTAACTGTCGAAATCACTAGAAGACTTGAGGAAGTGCGTTGGGATATCCGGCCTTAGTAACCAATTCGAATTGATATCTCGATTTCCAACCCAGTAACCATATTGTATGTTTTGTTTTTGGTTTTCCCATGTCTGAATCGTAATTTATTTGTTTCATGTTGATGCCACCGTTTTTGTGTTGCTTGTTTTTGTACTCTGATTCATTGGTATAATTTTTTTTTGGGGGGGGGGGGTTTCACCGTTCTTTGAAGAAGGCTATGTCTATTCTTGTTGTATGTGGTTGGTACATTACTATTTTATATTGACACGAGACTATAATCGAAGGAGTTTCAATTCTATTTAAACTGTGTAAAATGTTCCATACTATATCTAGTACATAACAAGAAATTTACATCATCTAATATATAGGTTCTACTTGAGTTCATATATCAGTGATTAGGGTTTAGATTTAGTAAGTAGATTTTTTTTTTGGGGTTTTAGTATTTAAGCATATAAAAACTAATGGAAATGAAGTAAAGTGCTCCTGCTATACTATTTATAAATGTTTCATACTATGTCTAGTACAAAACAAGAAATTTTCAGCATATTATATGAATTATATTTGGGTTCATAGATCAGTGATTAGGGTTTATATTAAGTAATTACGAGTTTATCTTGCGTTTTAGTATTTAAGAAGTTTAAGATCTAAAATGGAGTAAAATCGAATTGATATCTCGATTTCCAACCCAGTAACCATGTTGTAAGTTTTGTTTTTGGTTTTACCATGTCTGAATCGTAATTTATTTGTTTCCTGTTGATGCCACCGTTTTGCTATTGCTTGTTTTGGTACTCTGATTCACTGGTATACTTTTTTATGGAGGGGGGGGGAGTTCTCACCGTGCTTTGAAGAAGGCTATATTGATTCTTGTTGTACGTGGTTGGTACATTACTATTTTATATTGACACGAGATTATAATCGAAAGAGTTTCCATTCTATTTAAACTGTGCAAAATGTTCCATACTATATCTAATACATAAGGAAAAATTTACATCATATTATATAGGTTCTATTCGGGTTTATAGATCAGTGATTAGGGTTTAGATTTAGTAAGTAGATTTTTTGGGGGTTTTAGTATTTAGGCATATAAAAAGTAATTGAAAGGAAGTAAATTTCTCATGCTATACTATTTATAAAGGTTTCATACTATGTCTAATACAGAACAAGAAATTTTCAGCATCTTATATGAATTATTTTGGGTTTATAGATCAGTGATTAAGATTTAGATTAATTAATTACGAGTTTGTTTTTGTTTTAGTATATAAGCATTTTAAGAACTAAAATGAAGCAAAATGACTCTTCTATTTTATTTATAGATGTTCCATACTATAACTAGTACCTAATAAAAACATTTCATCATATTATATAGATTTTATTTGGGTTTATAGATTAATGATTAGGATTTAGATTTAGTAGGTAGCTTTTTTGGGTTTTAGTATTTAAGCATGATAAGAGCTAATAGAAATGGAGTAAATTGTTCCTGTTATATTATTTATAAATGTTTCATACTATGTTAGTACAGTACGAAATATTTGCAGAATATTATATAGATTATGTTTGGGTTTATAGATCAGTGATTAATATTTAGATTTAGTAATAACAAGTTTGTCTTGCGTTTTAGTATTTAAGCACTATAAGAACTATACTAGAGTAAACTACCCTTTATATTCTATTTATATAGGTTACTATATATAGTACATAACACGAAAGTCACATCATATTACATAGATTATATTTGGGTTTATAAATCAGTGATTATAGTAAGTAGGTTTTTTGGATTTTAGTATTTAAGCATAATAAGAACTAATGGAAATAGAGTTAACTACTTCTGCTATACAATTTATAAAGGTTCCATACTATGAATTGTACAGTATGAGAAATTTGCAATATATTATATAGATTCTATTTGGGTTTATAGATCAGTGATTAGGGTTTAGATCTAGTAATTTGCAGGCCATATTATGTCCACAGTATGTATTGTATCCACATATTTACTGCTTACAGTGAAAACATATGTTTAAAAAGACATAGGAGAATATGAAGTATGGAACAATGTAGGAAAGATAAAATAGTTTAACTTTGCCTATGCTATTGTAGCAATATTTCTACTTTGTCGTCCACCTTGTTTTTTACAGTTCTTTTCTATATTCTAATTAACAAGTTTCTGTTTTGTCTTTCTTATTAGCAGGTTATCATGGAGGAATTAAGCCTTCTAATAAGATTGTTTGAAACAAGATTTGAACCAACGGTTAGAAAACATGTTAATAACTATTTAAACCTACAGTGGATCGAGCTGATCAAAACCACATTAGATGACGATCATTTGGCGATGTTGAATTCTTAGTAATTTGGGAAATTGTTGAAAATGAGTGTCACACATTCCATGTAATGTTTGTGCATTACATTATTTGTACTATGTAAGTTTCATATGTATTGAACCTTGTTTCAGGTTTGAAAACATTTGTAATTTATAATGAAACAAAGTTAAATAATAGTATTTTTTCCCTTCTGACCAATTTTGTACGGTCGCTTGTAATATGGTCTTCATTAGGACAAAGGTTACAAATAAATTTAATATGTATTTTTTTACTGAATATTAAACAGTATCATTACTTTATAACAATGTTCTAAATTTAATCATATATAATTTCCATCTATAATTTCGTTCTCAGTTCCATACTATTTTACGTTTGATGCTCAAATTTATTGACTTGCAATAGTAAATAGAATGGATATGCAATTCTATACTATTTTGAGAGGGTATATACTATTTTCTTGTCCATGAAAAATAATGTAATTGATGCCTCGCCATCGTTGTTCCTCCTTCTCATCCTCCTTCTATGTGAATTATGTTTGCATCTCATGTTCTCTATTGAAAACCTCTCATACACCGTAATGGTAACAAGTCTACAGTTTCAGATTTTGATTTATTTAAAATATCACAAATATATATTATATTTGGATTTAGGTTTTCGTAATTAGAGTTCAGAATTTAGTATTTAGGGATTATGTAGAGTTTCATATTAAGGGGTTGGATAGGGTTGGAGTATTATACTATTTTGGTAATATGAAATAGAACATTTATTAACTTCAAGTGTTCGTCCAGTCTAATTCGTTTGCGGTGCAATCCGTGTGTTCAACGCAAATTCTTGTCCTTTTGCATCCGAGATGGCGCCACCCTAATGTTTAAAATGAATATGTATGAGGTCAATATATGTGTAACATGAATGTCTTTACGTGATGTTACACTAAACAATGGTGTTTTATTTATGTCCATATTTTCAAACAACGACGTATTCTCTTCTTTCTCTCTGTCACTGGATACTTACAAAGAAAACTAGTATAGCCGGATCAATCGTGAACTAAATGTTATTGAGTTAATAATGTCAAAATCAGTGTTAGTTACTTAATTTAACACTCAAATTTTACTATCTTGTCAATAATTTTTTTTTTTGGGACTATTGTCTGGTCAAGCCAATAAAAAGTATTTTATGACTGAACCTCTTTAATTCTTTTTTCTTTGCACCTATTATATTTAAGAAAAACAAAAATAAATATGAAAAACCTTTGAAAAGAAAAAAAATACATTTTCATCAAGTGAATTTGATAGCAATATATTTAAAGAAATTCTCTACGATAACCTATTTTAATTTATTTTCACAAAAATAATCTTTAAGGTAGAAAATGACCAAAAAAATTATTTTATTGAATAATAAATATACTCTTTAAAAAAAAAACTCTTATGCCCTTAAGATTAATTAACCATAAACATTTTTGGTTAGATTTAAAGGTGAGGTTTTGAAGATGGGATTTAAAATATTCAAAAAAGAAGAAAATTTCAAATTTTAAATAAAATTTTGAAAAATAATTCCAAAATAATAAAAAATTGAAAAAAATTATAAAAACGTGAATTTGAAAACATATGATCCGAAAATATAATATATGTATATATATATATTAATTTTTTATATTTTTATTTTATTTATCTATTATAAAGAAAATGAAACTTAAGTTTATTTTTAGTCATTTTTCATTTTTTCTCCTTAAATTTTTTTGTGACATAAAAGGTAATTCGAGAGAATTACTGATACAATATTTTTTTGAAACACTTTTTTCAAACACTTATACAATATTTTGTTATTATATAAAACAGATTGGCAACTGTTGCATTAGGACAAAAATAAGTGAATTACTTATATCAGATTTTATTATCTTATTAAAAACAATGAGGATAAGAATAAATAGAAAACAAATCCAAAAGAGGAGATTCTTTTTCTCTACACCCAAAAGCTTTTACCCTTTAATATTTGCGTTATTTATTATCGGTAAACTAGAAAATTTGGTCAAGAAGTGAGGGTATCTAAGTCATTATATTTGATGCTATAATCGTAAATTAAGAGAAATTTTAAGGGGTAGAGTTGTCAGCGTATCTGTATATATATTGGCCTAGCCCCACAGAGTTCCTTTGCCCTTTCATTCTCTCTTTCTCTCTAAGCGTCTAATCTCTCTCTCTCTCTACTTTCAAAAATTTATTATATCTTTGATTAAAAAAGAGATACATATAAAAATATTCATCTCTCGTTAAATTATCCTCTCATCCGGTTTTTTCAAACTTACTGTTTCACCGCAGTACTTATATTATTTACACATTGCTGACGTGGCGTCCATCCAATAACAAACGGCCATGAATACTAAAACGATGCGTCTTCCGCCACGTCGTATGCTGACGTCAGACAAACGAATTCTCCCAAACGTCGTCGTCACCGATAAACCAACGGAAACCGCCGTAACAAATCCACCACAACCACCGCCGCCGCCGTCGATGAAATCTATCCTCAAGAAAACTCCGACGGCGGCCGAGTCGGCCGGTTCGAAGCAGCTCCTTGCCGGTTATTTGGCGCACGAGTATCTCAACAAAGGCACATTCTTCGGAGAGCAGTGGAATCCGACCCGATCCGAATCCGAATCGAGGAAGAGTGAGGCGATGGATGAAATAGAGGTGAGTGAGCATAAACGGAGGAGATACGTGGAGGTAGCTGATATACTCAAGGTAGACGGGGCCTTCATGCCAGGTATCATCAACCCTTCACAACTTGCCCAATCACTTAAACTGTGATGTCGTAAATCCACGTGGAGGAATGAGACTGGCTTGTCCACCGGGAAATCAAGAAGCGTCGTTCACAGAAACATTCCTCCTCTCTCTGACGCGAAAATGTTAGTTTTTTTGTTGTTGTTGTTGTGTTTGTAGTACTGTCATATAAATCTGGTTTGTTATCAATTAGCCAACGGATTAATAAATCGATCGCCGATTTTAAAACCAATTATGCGAAATGTGTTTCCCATTTGCATGAATAAATATATATTGATGTTTTGATTTTGTTTGTTGTTTGGTTATTTGACGTTGCCCCATTTCCAGTTTTGATTAGAAAAAAAAAGAACGATGCTTGAATCTTTGTGAAATTAAACGAATTGGTATCATCTGTTTGTTGCTCCGTCTTCACTCGTTATTCTGGTTCTGTTATCTATCCTTGCGGTTTCGTGGTGTTACAAGAAATCTGTTTTGTTCAGCAAAAAACGGGATGTGCTTAATTTGCTGGATTTGTACTTTTGTAGTAAGCAGTCGACAAAATTGTCGAATTGAACAAAAACTGGCACTTTTAGAGCATTTATATGGAGCTATTTCTTGATTCTTAGTGATGATGCAGAATCTTTTTTGACTCTCAAGCATCTTTTCTTTGTAATTGGGATCACGGCATTGACATTAAACAGCATCATCACAGTCAGGCTCGAATCTTGCTTATACTCCTTTACCATATATTTTTCTTTGATTATTATATATATAGGTCATGGAATTTTAATGAGTCAACTTCTTTTAGGTACACAATGGTTGCTTCGTGTATAATGAAATATTTGAACAACCAAACATCTGCTTTTTCAGCCTTTTTTGCTCTTTGCTTTTTCCTTTCTAACTCAAACTTCTCGTATCTTTCTTGACAATCTATATTCTTTAAGAAACCTTTTTTGGTTAAGATACAAATATCTTACCATTTATTTTGTTTTGTGTAATATTATTATGCATCAACATTCGGGTATCTATTTAGGTTCAGATCAAATTTTTGAATTCCAATACTACTTTGTAACACGTCCTAATTTTCATACTAATAAAATTTTAAGTATGGATCGAGATCGATATAAAACATTGATTTTAGATTGGTTTTATATTACATCCTAGAACTCATAAAATAATCATATATCGTTTGGATTTGAGTTATATCAGATTAGTTTGGCTATATCTAAAATAAAATTTATATTTTAAAAGATAAATATAAGAAATATATATGTGTATATATATAGAATTCAGTATTTAAGATACTAATACAGATTTTAAAATACTTATTACTAGATATCATATCAAAATAAATATCAAACTGAAGTATATATTTATATTGTATATTAGTTTGACCATTTAGATCGGTTTTTCGAATATTACTTCAGATTTGTTTGGTCTGGATATAGATCTCGGTTTAGGTTCGGTTTGGATTCCAAATTACGGATTTTATACCATCTCTAAATATTTTTACAGGGAAATAAAATAATGGAGAACCTCTTGGATGGTGCACTTCTCAAAAGTTAAGTGAGTTATTTATATACATATGCCTTTCTTTTTTTCATCATCTTACATTTGCCTCTTTAATTGTTGAAATTTATGTAGAGCCAGAGCTGCAAAGCTGGCCATATCTAAAGCACTATGGCCCACATTGGTTGTGATATATGGATCTCTCCTGCACAACCAGCTGGATTTATTAATATGTACATGCAATCATTTTAATCTGTAAATGGCAATATTGAAATCATATAACTAGAAGAACAAACATGCTGCTAAAACTAGATGTGTAGATGAAATTAGTCATTTCATTTTGGGGGCTATATCGGCTAGGAAGCGTGTTAGTGTTAATCAGTCTTTGCTCTTAAATACTCAAAATGCAACATTATTAGATATATACATTGGATCTGACTCAAAATCACTTATTAATGAATTTCTGATCATGCATCTCTATCCCTGTCAAATGATCAAATACCTTTTTCATTATTTTTTTTAATCATCCATGATTTGATTCGAAATCCTCAAACATATATTTTCAATTAGAAGAAAAATACATTAATGAATAATCAAATTGTTGACCTAAAAACATTTAGCATTGATATGCC